AAAAAAAAAAAAAAAAAAAAAAAAGTTGATGAGAGGTGGAGAAAAAAAGGGGGAGAAGTTGACCTCATGAGTGTGGTTGTTGCCCCATTCGACTGCAAACTTAAGAGAGGTGCACTTGGTATTGTCTCTAATGGGCCAATAGTGCTCCAAGGGAACCATGCCTCGGACAAAAAAATCATGGAACCTAGACCTAACATATAGATTCATAGAATCGCAAGCCAAAATGTACTTTTCACTAACGGACCAAGCCCATCCTTCTATGTATATCTTATACCTATGAGTGCATTGATCCCCTAAGTTGGATTTCTTGTACCCTTGGTTGGACTCTTGTTCCCAGTCCTGTATGTATAGGCGAGTGTTCCAATCCTGTTTTTGTGTGACATTGCAATGCAAAAGGTTTTTCCTAGTTGAAGCAACATAAGGGTTACCCTTCCAATACGCGTAGGGTACTCTGTCCTTCCACTTTCTCTTCTTGTTCCCATTTTTGATATCTTCTAGGACATATTTCCATGGCTTTATATTTATCTCAGCCCTTAAATAAATAAATAAATAAATAAATAAATAATGTAGGTGAGTTTTGTACATAAAAGAGGAGATATGTGTAATTTAGGCATATTCTTACCAGCCCCAAAAGGACCAATCAGGGAAGACAATGTCCAAACTCCAGTGGTCGGAGCAATAGCGGAACAAAGGTGGGGGTGCAGCATTTGGGCCTTGAAACCTGTCTTTTGGGATAACGGGCCGGTCATCGCAATCAAACAATAGCTCCAAATCAGGGAGCTTCCCAGGGTAGAGTCTCACAAGTTGCAAGATCCCCCAGAGAGTAAACACATCTCTGGTCTGAATTGACTTCCTATACTTGTCCACGTACACCCTCCCGTCCACGATCACTACCCTCATGTGCGCCGTTCTCCGTGCACCCTCCACCATCTCCCGCGTGATCCCTCTCTCTCTCCACGCCCTTAGATCTTCGTGGATCCAACGGAAGTACGACGGGCACGTGCCACTCCCGTTGCTCCTCGGCCTGTGTGTGGTCGGGTACTCCCTACCGCACACGTGCCACTTCCCGCATCTCAGGGGAAATTCCTGTACGTTCGGCCTGGCTACGTGGACGGCTGAGATGTTCTTGCTTCCAAGGGAACTCCACTACATTTAGATCATAATTCCATAATAAGATTCATGATTAACATACAACAATTTCTTCATACTACTTCATAAATTTATCATTTTATCTTTGTATGTTTTGTTATTTGGTGTGAAATCAACGTCGAATATAATTCAAGTTTATTATGGTTTTATCATGCTCTAATATCATATCTTATTTTATCATATTTTAACCGCTCAACTATTTTTTAATTTTTATTTTTTTAAGCTTACACATCTCTCTTTGCCATAGACTCTCTTGGAAAAAGAATACTTCCTTTTCATGATGCTAACCAAGTCTTGTGTTGTAGTAGCCAGAAAAAAGAAAAATTACAGTGAGTCCTTGAAAAAACAAATCATTTATGTATCATGTAGAAAACATATTTTGTACACTAAATAAGAGATAATTCTTTTTTTTTTAATCATATTGATATAATGAAAAATAATTAAATATGGACAATTAATAAGGCTTAACAATTAATTAACGCCAGAAAAAAAAATGAATTGAAAAGTTCTTCACCTTCCTACTACTTTTTCTTCATCTTGTATATTTCTCCAACAAAAAAAAAGGCCTTGCTGTATACATGTAAAAAAAATGCAAACTCTATGTACTTTTCAAAAAATGAAATTTCGCCCAATAACCACGATTTATGAACTTAAAAGGATAATAAACAAGAATGAGATTTGGTTTTCCAAAATTGCATTCATATCAACTTGAAAACCAAAGAACGCAAACAAAGGCACAAAATAATCTTTTTCTCTGTCTCCTACTTCGTATATATCTTTCTACCAAAGAGAGTACGTGTTAATTTGAACTTGCATGACTAACCGTATTCCAGAAAACAAAAGCACAGAAAGTGGCTACAAAGCAAAACAGCACAGTGACTGTGGTGGAAAGTGTGGTGACTTTGCCCTTCTTCTGGTTATTATAAGAACGACCACCGAAGAGCTTCAAATATGTCTCGTTGTCCTTCTCCATGCTTCACTTTATTTGCCTTCTTCTTCGATTCTCCTAGGTTTCAGATTCTCGTACACAATTGTTTTTTCACCATACTATACACATTAAATTCTCAAAACAATAATACTATATGGTAATATTGGACGGAACGGTGTATCATGTATGTGTATCTTATCATAAACTCTATTGGTTGGTGTCTATAGTTATGCTAAAGAGAGAAATATATGGTATAGTGAGAGAGGAAGAGAGGAACATTGGATGTTTATGTAACGTATACTCAACGTGGTCCCTCAGATTTTGAGTTTAATCTCTACATGCTAAGTTTTTACTCTTTACTTTATATATGCAGACTTTTTTTTATTATATATATATATGCAGTTGTTTGCTGATTTATAATAGAATATAATTATGAAATAGGAATTTAAATTCTGATAATAAGGAAAAAGATTTTCTTTAATTTCATAAGATTAAAGAAACGAATTATCTGTACGAAAGGAATTATTGTCTAAGATGGAAAGTAGAATCAAAATTTGAAGATAATATTATCAATTTTAGTAAATTAAACTTCCACTTTTGAGAGAGATCTGAAAATATTGGGCTGACTTTTTCTTTCATATGTTAAAATATTTTTTCATTCTTTTGATGGATTTGAGGATATATATTATCTGAGAAAATAATCTATCCAATATAGTTTAAAGCATTTTTATACTATAAATGTATTAAATTTCATAATAATTACTTTGAGAGTTATGTCGGTAATAATTTTAAATTTATTGAAAGTATAATAAAAATAATAATATTAATTATGTATAATCATTAAACTCGTTATTTTACTTTATTTTCAAAATAATATTTTAATTTATGTAATATACAGGTTAAATATTTAGATATGAAATTAAAATTTATAATAAAGTATACATACAAATAAATATTATGTTTAAATATATGAACCATATTTAAAATTTTATATATAGATATTTTTAAACATATAAATTCTATTTTAAATTTATAAATAATTATAATTAAAAAAATTAATTAAATTAAAAAAAAATTAAAAATATTTTATTGAAAAAAAATCTTAAAAATACTCTCACATAAAATAGAAATTTGCGTTTAATATATAAAAGTTGATTTCTAATTAAATCTTTGTTAGCTTCAACTAAATAATATTATTGCTAAAATATAACTTATGTTACCACTTATATTAAAATATACATTAATTTATTTTATTATTATTGAAATAACTATTAAAAAATATTTTAAAATAGAAAATTTCAAATGTAATTTTCTTGATAAAATAATGTAATTTAATATAATATAAAAAAATCCATAACTATATAATAATTTGTCTAATATTTTTTATCCTTGATTATTATTTTCATAAATAATTTTTAATTTTAATATATGTTTTAAAAAATCTTTATCAAGTCAGTGAAGGATATATAACTTAGTAAGTAGAAAAAAAATATTAAAATCTTTTAAGATCTGTTTAGTACACATATATATATATATATATATATATATATATGTATAAAGCACATAATTTTTTTTATCGTCAAACAAGATTCTATATTCGCAATGGTACAAGGAGTATCATAAATTCGTATACAAAAAGAAAGGAACAATCTATATATATCCACTTATGACTAATTTGAATGTGTGAAGCCAAATTATCTTCTAACCAAGATTATCACAACATATATTATTTGAAAAAAAAAATATGTATTCATTATAGATTTTAAATATAATATAATTTTTATGTAAAAAGTAATTATTTATTATATTTTTGTTATATAAAATAAAATTTTACTATTTTCATTATAGAAATACTAGTTATATATAATTTTTTTAATTAAACGTTTTATTTTTACAAATTATCAAATCTCATATGTTTAACTAAATTATACAAAAGAACTTTTATTATTTTATGTATTTACTTTTCTTAATATAATAAAAAATTATAATTATAATTATTATTCAAATATGTTTTCAAAAAATATTTAATTAATAATTATTTACTTTAATATCTGAGTAATGTGTATGTAATGCACATGATACACTTTTATTTCATGTAACTTAAAATTATAGTAACTAAATTTTTTTTAATATATAAATTATATTTTGATTAAAATTTATAAGAATGAGTATTTTTATTATATAAATTAAACTTAATTAATATTTATAATAAATATTTTTTATGATTATTTTAATTATTAGTATTTAAAAATAATTTAGAAATAACAAAATAATAAATTAAAAATAGATAAAAAAAATTAAAAAAATATTTAAAAATGTTATCATTGAAAAAAAAATAGCTAAAAAAACTTCTTTTTAAAAATGGTTGTTACAAACACTCTCCTTCAAAACAATTATATTATAATTCATATTGAGAAGTGATTATATATCTATAAATCTTATATATATATATATATAAAATAAATAATCAAATTAATATCTAACGGTTGGATTTACAAAATTACATTTAATATAAAGTTATTGATTGATGTAATACTTAGTAAAAGTTATACCTGTGTAATTATAACTCTCCTCTCTTTATATATATATAAATGAGTCTTCATTTTCATGTACACATTATTATTATTCATTTTTCTTTTATAATTTTTGACCCTTTAAATAAAAATGAAAAAAATATTAAAAGGAGCTTATTAAATTTTAGAAGTCTTTTAATATACAACTACACACTATTTTAATTAAGGTGTATTTAAGTAGAGGCACGATGTACATTTTCTCCCGCTAGTTAATATTAGAAAGAAAAAAAAAATATATATATATATATATATATATATAATATTTTTTTAACTGTTCAAACCATTATTTTGTTAAAAACTTAAAATCCGGAAAGAATCAACACTTACTTCAAGGTAGGAAGGGAACAAAACAAATTTACACTCTTGAATAACAAGTAAAAGATTAAGAGAATCCTCTCAAAGATTTTTTTATATATATAATTTATAGGGTTACTAATACTAATTAAAAGGAATAACATGGCCAGAATGATGGTATGCTAACTTGTTTGTAAAGGCTATTCCACGTTTATGCCGTCGATCACAAAAGGGTAATTTTATTTCCAACGTATCCAAAGGGGTCGTTGAATTAAGACTCAAAGTCTTCAAGGGTCACTCAAATTGAGTCTATATTATGAAACTCTTCAATCTAACTACAAATTGTTCTTTTATTTTATGAATGATTTTATCCTAGAAATTCGAATATATGAGAAGAAAACAAGAATGGTACAATACCATTGTGGACATCTTGTTTTGTTTCGTTCTCACATTATGGGTTCCAAGAAAGTGAGATAGAAGTATGAAAAGTCAGCAACGATGGTTAGTTTATTCAATATCATATATTTTATCAATTGTGTGGACGGACGAATAGCAAACTAGGTAGGAATTTCCAGAAGTTATTATCTAACTGGTCAATTACTTGAAAATTGGAGAAAAATCATTGGGCTAAGTAGTATAATATATATTAGAGCATTATTAGGTTAAGATCCACGAACTCTGCCTATAGTCTCCTATGTGCTTCATCTAACCATGTGCGTGCGTGCCCACCTATTTTTCAGCGTTCAACTCTAGTAGTATACATATTTATTAGTTGTAGAACTTGAACAAAATTCTTGCACGAGTCAAAAATCTTATACATAGTTTTTTTTCCCCTTTTCTTCCTTTTGTATAAAGGGGCTAACATTAAAAAAAATTATGTTTGTTATATTTTAAATGTTTTAACGCGTTTAAAAAAACGTTACCCGAAAAATTAGAAATTTCTTATATTTGATAGAAGACGATGAAAAGTTTCTGTGTGCATGAAAGATTCTTTAATTATAATAATTTATGAATAAGAAGTTAAATCTTTTAGAAAAAAAAACATGGTAATCGATTTTAAATACATTATTTTTAATAAAAAGTTGTTTGTTCAATTAGTTCAACATTTATGTTCTTTAATCAAGAAATGAAATTTGATCTCTACTTTAAACATAGTCACCATTGAAAATATCATTTTATCTCTATAGAGGTTTACTTAGAAAAGAGCGAAAAGGAGTTATGTCTCTTTAACCAATCAATCAAACAAAATTCAATTCTATTGTGATTTTTAAAATATTATAAAAATAAACAAACTTATTATCCATAATAATTTATGATTTTTTATAATCAAATTATTAATACGAAATATTAATTATCAAATGATTAATCTCTTAAAAAATATGGTTTAGTGAATTCTCGTATCTTAATTATATTTTTTTCATTCATAAAACTCAACTGTGAAACATTATGTAATTCCACTCTAACTAACAATTTGTTGGAAGGAACTTGTGATAATTTTGTTTTAGCCTAAAAAGTTACAATATTTTGTAATTTTTAAAATCCTGTCATGTGGTACAAACATATTTTTTGTTGGATGATTGTAAGAAATCATTGTGGAGGGGAGAGTGTATTTGCTTGGATCCATATATAATTGTAAATTATGGTTAGATTGTAATTTATAAGTAATTAAATATAAATTATCTCTAATCAAGGATAACCTGTTGTCTTGTAAATGGTTTTATAATATCTCATATACTTATTTTAATATAAAATTATTTTACTGAAGAAAAAAACAAAACTATGGTCCCAAACTATGACTAGGTCAAGGAGGAGTGAACCACCTTACAATATTCATCCATGCGGGCTAAATTATAGTCACAAACACATTTGGTGGATAACATTTTGTGTACGTTATTTTTACACCAATAAATTAGACTAATAATAACTTAATAATCAGTTGAAAAGAGTATTGTTGCAAGTGTGTGAAGAGAAAGTTGACATTAACGTGCACCAAACAAACTAAGGAGAAATAATGGAAACCACAAATTGACTTTGATTTTGGGACACCAATCACGATGCAAACTCCATGTGCCATTTTTCCAAAGTTGCGAAAAGGTTTCGTACGAGGTGATCCATGTAGAATTGACCAGACCGGGTAATGGTCTTGAAGCTTGGTGGGCCCAAAATACAGGCTTCATAATTGGCCCAGGGTTTAAGAGATCTATCTCCAGCTTGTGTATACGGTTTCATTGGATCATCGAGTGCTTGTAGAGTGGCCAAGTTCATTGGGGCTAGGAACCATGAGTTTTGCTTATGCTATTAGTACGTCCACAGATTTTGACATTCAAGTTGATGAAAACAAAACTTGAGATGGAAATGGGGTAATTGAAGGGTGAGAGTGCGTATCTCAAAGAAAGAGTAATGCTAATACCAAAAAAAGAAAGAAAGAGTAATACTGCTATTTATAGGCATAAGTCAGGTGAGAATCCTTTTTCAAGTGAATGTCTATTAGAGTTGAATAGTACTTTAAGCATTTACTAGGTTCTTGATTTTAAATCATTTTTTTTTTCTCACAATGATTTTAAGATAGATAAATAACTTTAGTTTAAAGATATATAATAAATTTATGAGATGTTACATGGTAACATGGTATCATATATAATTGTGTGTTGCACATAACAACCACTTAATTTTCTACTAAGCACATAAATAATTTAAAAGAAATAAGATTATGGACTAAATGTAGTAATTTCAAATTTTAGTAAAATATAAAATAAGGATTTTTTTTATAAAGAAAAAAATCAAAATTTTCTCATTTTGTAATAAATAAAAACATATTTAATTCTAAACTTTATAAATAAACATGTAAATGACTTACTATTTTTTAAATCCTGAAATAACACAATTTAAACACAATATAAATCGTTCAATTACAAATAATTATATACTACATGTTGATGATTATATTATTATTAAATAACAAACTAAATAACAAATTATCATGATATATGCATAATAATATAAAATGACATTTAAATAATTTCAATAATATTTGATGTTATTAATAAAAAAAAGTATTTGAATTAAAAAAAAAAAAACATGATAGTGAGGACAGAAACTAGTGTCATGTGGCAAAGTGTTGTACAAGTTTTCAGCATGTGACAAAAGTTATGTTCCATGTCTTTACACAACACAGTTTGTGGTGCACTTTCCATGTCTTTACATGTGACATGTACATGAAAATGTCACGCATCTTTCAAGTGAATGCTTTTTTTTTCAAGTTAAAAATATTTACCAATTACAAAATCAATACACATGTAACAAATAATAATAATAATAATAATAAATAAATAAAAATAAGCTAATATGTGACATGACTAACCTATCCTAAACTAGTAATTAAGTTTTACATTTATTAGTAAATAATCTCCAAATGTGTTAAATTAGTCAAAAAGCCAACATCACACCCAACGCAAAAAGTTTTAAATTAGATTAAAATATACCCATAATATAATAATAATAATAATAATAATAATAATAAATTTACAGTAGTATGTCTATGTCCAATTAAATATATTAAATTTGTTGAATTTATAATTAGTAATTCAAAAGTATTATATAGAATAATTTTCAACTGGTTGACCGTGAAAATTATTTTTACTACGTAATAATCACTGATAAATGATATAGTATTTAAAAAATATATCCATTGGCTATCAAAATAAATACTACAGTAGTCCAATGACTGCCTTGTACAAACCCCACCGCAAATACGAGCTTAAAAATTAAAATGTTTATAGTAACAAAAACATTAAAGTGATTTACACTGCAAAATACAATGTCTAAATCAAATTGGAACCTAAGGAAGTAATAGAATTTTTATTTTTCTTTAAAAGTGCATTTTTAGACCTTAAACTTTCCGTCAAACATGGTCAACATCCTTATAAGTTCATATACGTGAGTTTAGTGTTCAAACTTGGGAAAAAAAAACATATGAACTTAGTCCCTTCTTTCTAAAAATTCATCAAAAATTTTGAAGTTAAGAAAGACTAAATCCACGTATTTTTTAATGTTTGAGGACCAAATTTGTTAATATGAAAATACAGTGAGCTTGACCACTCTTAACCAAAAGTATAAAGACTAAAAAGTAAAAACACATTTTCTAAAAATAAAAATAAAGTTCATTTGTTAGGTGTTTGAGAGAAGGGAGTGTTCACACTGGTCATGGAGGTGCAACTAGGCCTTTTAGACTATGAGCGCGCCAATTGTGATCCATTCTCAGATTACAGAGGTTAAATTTTTGCATGCAACTCAATTGACATTACCAACGATGGGCTTTAGAGTTTAGACAGATAACTAAATGTATTATTCTGAAATGGGGAATGCCTCACAATCAGACGGTTTCAAGAACCACTTGTTAAAAGGTGGCTTCCCTTTAAAAATTTTGGAAGCCAAATGATATTCTTCAGCTCCATCCTGCAAATGATTAATCATGCAAAACAAGTTAGTTAGGAAATATCATTAACATTTGTCCACTCTATTTACAGATACAATGTTAAACTCAAGAGTAAGCACACTGAATTATTATGTATTTATTAGTGAAAACAATCTGGTTTTTAGGCCAGAATTACAGTACAGGACATAGACAATCCCCCTAACAAGGAGCATGCACAAAGAACATAAAGCATCATGCACTAACTTTCACACCATTCTATAATTGCCTAAATAACTGCATATATACAGAAACAATCACAAATATAATAACTCAGATCCATAATTACCCAAAGAACTGCACCGAGACACAATTACTACACAAACACTATTAATTCAGGCCAAGTGAGTCTAAGTCTGCCTTTTATTCCTTCTCACATAAATTTTGCATAGCCTATCAGACAACACAAGTAAGACCATCACAAAAAGAGAATGTGAAGAACATCAAGAATACCTTCAGTTCTCGATACGTAATCCCATTGTCCAGAGAACCGGTGAAATTTTCCCGCCTGAGTGACAAAAAAACCTCCAACAGCCTCTTTCTGAAAAAATAATAATTCTTTTATTATTACATTTAGTGTTTTACAAGTAATTTCTACCACAGTAGATGTCAGCACTCACTTGCACAAAGATGACTGTGTCGATGGGCAAAGTGCCCCTTTTGCAGAGGTGCCTTGCTTTCTTCCAGTAGTTCCCAGGATGACTTCATGCAAGCCACATTCATTCCAACATATGGAATATCTGCAAAGTTAAGCATTCAACTAAATGCAACATCAATCCATAAAACTACAATGACTTTACAAATTTACAACATTTGATTAAGTACCCGCATGTTAAAGTGTTGGCAGCACTCTCAGATTGCTGAAAGTCCTTTGGTGGTACTGGTGCAGCCTGAAATAACGGCTATGAAATGAAAAAAACACATAAAAGTCAGCCTCTTACCACACTACTTTTCTCACTAAAATACTAACTACTGAATATTTCACAGACCTGGTTCACTATAAATGGAGATGTCAGTTCATTTGATAAGGGTAAGATACGTTCATACAAAGCTCTTTTCAAGTTATCTTCAAAATGAAAATTCTCGGGATTGTTAACAGGAAGACCAACAGTAATGGAAGAAAGATATACAGGTTGAAGAAAGTAGGAAAGCAAAGCTCCTGTAATAAGAGAAACAATGTCGCAATACTTTACTTAACGGAAAATACAATCAAACTGCACTATTCTAATTCATGTTCATATCCACATATCCAACATTATAAGACCAACATAAAGCTCTAATTCAAGTTCGCACAATCATTCTTTTTTTTTTTTTGCTATGTGATAGCCAATGATATACTTCTATCCTCGCAGTTGTGTTTACAAACAAATTACGAAGTACAAAGATTTAAGCACTAGTAATATAAAATGCAAAAGATTTGTAAAAAATAAGTAAATATAAAACAAATGTCATAATGATGTAACCAAGTCTAGTTGATGCAAAATATTTACATGTATATAAACACCGGTATGAACCTCAGAATCCACAATGTTTCTGTTTCATGTGTTGTGATAAATAGTTGTCATATAACAGGAATATGCAAAAAGCAAATCAAACCTGATTTCCAAGCAAGAAATACCAACAAGCAAACAGCAGTTGCAACCCTGGTTTAAGCATATCTAACCTTGAACACCAACAACATTCCAACGAGCTATCTTGTCAGAACAACTAACTGACAGGGTTGTATCACCACGACCTGGCTTCCTCTGGACCATCCCCTTTTGTTTTAAACTGTTATCTGGAATTAATGGCAAAAGTAATTCTCTTCAGACCAAAATAAACAACAGTCAATCTCTCAATGGTAAATATCCATCAAATATAAAATATCACCACACATGAAATTTAATAAGAATTGCGATCAAAGAGCAGTCATTGCATTATATAAGGAAAAAGAGTTCAGCCAATCTCAGTTGTTAGAATGTTTTCTTAATCTCATCTGCCTAAGGTTCCTATAGGCCTTAGCCATTTTATAATTTATGTATAAAATGTTAAATGTTGTAAAACTTGACCATGGAATCAAATAGCTTACCCAAAGGTGAAGTTGAACCACTTTCTCCTAAAGGCACATTTTCCAAGGGAGAGACAAGAGAACTCAGTGAAGCATCTCCACCTACAAAATGGAACACAAATTGTTGGATTTGGATCGTCTGCAGTTCATAAATAACTGCACGATCATGCAGTTTGAAATCTAATGGTGTAGAAATTTTTAACTCAAGTTAGTTTATAATTTAATGTATAAATTTTATTTTTAATGGTTGGGATTCATGCAGTTGAAAATTCAACTGCAAAGAACCCTGATCCCAAATTGTTATTCCCCACGAACCTAACTAACAAACAGTGCAAATAAAGAAAGAACTTTGATGATTAGAGTAAAAGGGTGAAAGAGATTAATTACATGGTAACTGTGATATGTACATATGTAATTTCCAATCCTTTCTCAAGGTATATTTTCCTTTATTAACACACCCTGGATCCAACTCAAATGGCAAGTTTCCATCATCAAGTTTCAACCTTTTGCCTCCATTGCTAGTTTCATGCTTACAACTAGTTTCAGTAAGATGTTGAATCTGTGCATAGAAGAACCTGGTGTGAATAGAAACGAATGAAATAACATCTTCTCGCATTGCAAGACTACATCAATTGAGCACAAAAAGTAGCAGTACCCTACAATCCTACATTCAATTTTACAAAAAAAAAAATGCAATAAAAGCATATATCAATGAATAAGAACACGATACATGGACAAATCTAAAATACCAACATTCAAAATAATAAGACTGACAAGCTATTTAAATAAACTGTTGCATAATTATGATACAAAATCAAAGAGAGTAAAGTATATACTGTTAACCAGTAACAAATCATCACGTATAATAAGTTTATTGATTTTTACAATATTTACCTTAAAAGTCAAATAAACCATCAATTTTATCTGTGAAGTGTCACTCTCTCTCCTAAATAATCTTTAAACTGCTGAAATTATATAAAATAGTCCCTAAAGTATTAGAAAGCATACTACATAGTCCCTCAAGGATTGAGAAATTCTATAAATTAGTCTTTCAATGTTAGTAAAATCTATCAACGCATGGACTAAATTGATGAATATTCAATACTTTGAAAACTATTTATATAATTTCATTAATTTAAAGAGTATTTAAGAGAGACGTTAATACTTGAAGGACTAAATTGATGGTTTATTGAACCACCAGAATTGACTTAGTGGTGAAAATTGAGATAGTATACGCAAAGTTCTGTGTTGGAACTTTGTTGTTATTGTTGTGATTTTTCTTACTAATGAAAAAAAAATGATGGTTTACTCTGAAAACAATAACAATTATGATTTATGAGTGACTGATAATGTAAATTTATCTACTCTAACAATAACAATGCATAAAACATGTGAATGGAAAGAGTAATTTTTTAAAAAAAAAAGATAGGAATGGAACCTGATCAAAGCTCTTCGAGCAATGACTTCAGCATGGGAATCATGAACAATGTCACCAGAGGGGCGCAAGAGAGAACGTCCAATGCACTTTGTACCCGTTCCCATTGCAACAACCTTCAAATCTTAAATGAATAAGCGAATTCAGTAAGTATCAAGTATTTTGAAAGTGAAAAATGGTTAGTGGGTAATGGAAAGAGAACCATTGGAAGGAGAAGAGAGAAGGAAAGAGGCCAAAACGGTGACTTCACGGCCTTGAGGTTTGCCCTTTTTGGGAAGAGAAGCGTACAAAGAAACAACCTTTTCGGATACCCTTTGGCCCCAACTCCTCTCCTCAGAACACGCCATGGAAATGGTTCAGTAACCACTCACTCACCCTCTATTCTGTGTTTGTGTAGTGAATAATCAGAGAACCAAGTCACCACACAGACTAATTCTAGGTATACAAGTAATAAGAAATTAATTTTTAACTTAGTTAATAAATTTATTATGTAAAAATAGATTATATATTTACATTGTAAAGTTTGGACTTTATAAAATATAGAGGTGAGAAAAAAAAATATTTACGTAATAAATATTAGAATACAATTACTAATGGAAAATGTCACTATATATATTGTTACCTCTATATTAGAATAATGAAACTGTCAAAAAAATAGCAGTGGAAAATAATTCCCTTTTAATAATTAACTTGAGAAAAAGGGATTTTATTTTATAATTCGATTCTTAATCCATTCTAAGGAGCTTGTTAGTAATTATCAAACAGATATTTTTTTTTGTTATCCTACTCCTAATTATTATAAATAACTGAAAATATTATGAAAGTGGATAAACAAAGTTGTAAGCAAAATTCTAAGAGCATTTTGATATAATTTATTTTGATTTTTTTAATTATTTTTTATAAGACTTTCGATGCTATGTAAGATTTAAAAACTTTTTTTATTTATTTTTCGATGAGAGAACCAAAATTAGATTCTTAATTCATTTTTGTGGGTTTTATAATGGACTCAATTTTATTTATTTTTTATTTTGCTACAAGAACATAATTCTTAAGTCATCATCTCTAATAAGAATTTTTAATATGGTTCTTAAATATACGAATCAATTCTTACAAAATTTATCATTGAAGTATGATGATATGAATGTGTATAAGAGTATTTTTATATAAAAACTATTAAGAATTGATTCTTTAATAATAAAATACTTTTTAATATAAAAAAACTGTGGACTCCGTTATTTAATCTACTTAAGGTGAATTAAAAAGTTAAATTTAGTTCTTCCATTGAATAAAAATAAAGTTCTAAAATCCAAAGTGATATTGAAAATTTCAAAAATTAAGAAAATTAAGAACCTAAAATAGGCTTCACCATTAGGGATGGTCTTATGGGTTCTTATATAAGAACCCATTCTACAAATAGTAATCAAATTATTATAATCCAATGCTAAAAATAATAAGAATTAATTTTTATTCTAAAAAATCATATAAGAATTAGGGGTGTCATTGGATCAAATTTTTGAAAAATTCAAATCAATCAAATAATTTTATAAATAAATTGATTAACTAATTCACTTTTTATAAAATGGGTTAGTTCAATTTCATAAAATATATATATATATATATATATATATATATATATATGGATCACATTTTGTAAACTAAATCAGGGTGGTGTAATTATCAAATTTATATTCATATATGGATCAATTTTTAAAAAATCTAAACTAAATTATATCGACCAACTTCATAAAATTAGATTGAGTAACTAAATCAACTTTGTAAAGTAAATTGATGTGATTTGAATCAAATTTTTTATATGAATCAAAATGATTATAGACTTGATTTTTTTGGACACTCCTAATATGAACCTCTTATTGGAGTACGTATTGTGAAGACAATTTTAGATTTCTACTCAATGAACTTGACTTAAAATTTTGAGCAGAAAATATAATTTACATTAGAAGACTAGTTATTGTTAGTAAATCCCTCTTTGATATTTTTTATAGTATATTTGATTTAAAACTTCAAAATATTTTAATTTAAAATTAAACTGTTGAATTTTATTAAATGGCACATTATAATTGGTTTTCTTTATCTCATAATAAATTAATGAAGGTAATTTATTCAAAATGACCAAAATCTTTTGCTTCTTGGGCCAGAACTAGATAGTCACTGTTTTTTCCTCAAGCCCAACAATAAATTCCACATCCACTTATTTGGGCTAGGCACATCAGTAGCCCAATGACTAAATAAGTTTCTTTTTGTTAACATATTACACATGCTGAATCATCTATTTTAATTTTAGTGAAACATGTATATAGTTATAGCTATCCATAAAATGGGTAGATATCACTTAAACGAATATTTGTATGTAAATGAAGCAAAATTCCATCCAATGAAACGAGTAATGGAAGGTTAACACTCGTACTTACTTCGCCCCATACTCCCATCATCATCCTTACTTATTTTATATCATTTTTTCTATTTTAAATTTTTTTAAAATTAGCATTTTAATTTGTGTGTGATGGAAGAAAATGTTCTTTCTCTTTTATACATAAGAAAGATGAGAAATACATTAAAGTAACATCATAAATAAATAGAAAATGTTTACACAATTTATTTAAGGTGATTTGATCCTTTATGCTTATATTCATAAACTTGTTTATTATCTTGAAGACTTATCCTTTTCAAGTTTTATGAGTAAAACTTAGAAAATTTTTCGCTTACAAGTTTTCTAGATAGAAACCCTCCCCTATTTGCCCGCCTCTCATTTGAAATAGTGACTCCCTCTATGAATCGAATAACTTTTCTCATTTCAAGAATATATATTTATTAGAGAAAATAAATCCTTAAAATAAATTAATAAAATATTTTAATTTTAAACAATATCCTAAATACAAATAATATCTTTCTATATCTAAACAATATTATATAAATTTAAAATTAAAATTTTGAACTATTTTTTCACTAGTGTGCTATCGAGCCATTTTCCAGAAAATAAAGAAAAAATCACATATTATATCATCATTTATAATAATAACTTTTACTTAATAAATAATCTCAAGTTCAAATCCTAGACATGTAGTTGTGTTATGTCAAATATTCAGAAAAAAGAGTTTTGTTGTTTCTTACTTGAATCAAATATAATTGGTTCCATGAAAAGATATATGTGATTTATACAAGGAAAAAAAATAGTAACAATGAGTAAAATTTTCCCAATATGTCATTTTTCTTAAAAATAATGCTTTGTTAAATGTTAACTCGTGTTTAAATTAAAATAATAAAGAAAATGTAATTGAGTTAGTTAGTTGAATAGTATGTGAATTGTTGTAAAATAATAATAATTATTGCTCTATTTACCAATCTAATATTGGAGTAGTTGATAGTTGATAGTTGCGAACAACACACGGCGAAAAGAGTGGGGAGTGAAACAAAACACTCTTGGAATCTCATAATCATAATTCCACATTTTTCCAACGCAAATTTCCTGTCTCCAACACCATTAATTTTTTCCCCGTAAAGGTCAACATCAATTATTAATAATTAATCCTTGCACGTTATAACTTATGAGAAAAGGGAATAATGCCAGGAATGCAAAAAAGAATATTAAACAAAATCAAAAAGAATATTAAACAAAATGGTTCTTACAGCCAAAAGGAGAGAGAGTCATAGCTGGCTTGGCTAATGCCTATCTTCACAAAACTAGTTGGCAATACCTTTTCTTGCCTTTGCTCTTCAAACATTCATTTTCTGTCATATAACCAATTCTTTCATGCTTTCATCTTTTAACTTGTGTTTCTTTTGCTTAGTGTATAATGTATACACCTCTTACAACTACTCATAAATAATATAAAGAAAATTTTTTAATTTGAGACTAAAAATAAATCTATCTAAAGATATATTTAAACAACAAAAAATAAAACACACATAAGTAAATATTATACTTTAAATTTTTTGACAAATGTAACTTGCATTCTAGGATGATTTGGCCATTTTTTTTAGAAAAAATTTATAACATCATTCATTGTGATCATATTTTTATATCCTGACTTTGTTATTCATATCTATTCAATATATTTAAGTCTAGATTAAGGCGACAAATCATTAACTTTTATTTTATAATATTTCTTTTAAATATTTCTATTAATATTAATTTTTTCACATAAACTCATTATAAAATAAATAATAGTATTAATATTTGTACTCTCCTTCAACTTGTATGAAATCGTTGTCAAGCTCTTGGACAACTTAAATTTGAAGATTGCTTAGCTCCAACTATAGTAAAAAATATTGGTAATTTTCAATAGCCTAGCATTATGATTCCACCAAGGTACCCCAACATTAATGTGAGTAACCACTCCTCATCTTGAGGTTAAATTCTCCTCCAACATCTAAGTAGATAGGGACTAACTATAGGCAATTGATCTTAAGGAGTTATTTATGATTCTTTTTTTCTTCTTTTTTTTTTTGACACACATTGAATCTTAATTTGACCTCGAGTTTATTTCATGCACGAGATTGAATTCTATATAGATTAATCTTATATAATCACTCAATTCACTCTCATCAAATTTATTTGTAAGACTTATATTAACTTTAATAATAATAAAGTAAATTACCAATCTCAAAGCAGTTGATAATATTGATAATTTTTAAATACTTAGATAATTGGAGATAAAAAAATAGAATTCAATAATTACATTAAGATATTCTCATGATACGAGTAACATTAACCTTTAACTTAAAATTAGACTATTCCAACATCTAAATAAATAAATAGAACACACATACACATTTAAATGAATCAATTATAAACTATCATTCGATGATATCTGATACTAACTAAAACACTAAAAAAATAAATTAATAACATAGTATATTGAGACTTTTGTAAAAACAAACCAGCAAATCTCAATGCAAAAAATGCATATTTGATTCATTAAACATGTTAACTAATTTTCAATTCATGACTTTGTATATAAAAAAGATTGTATTAAGTGAAGTAAAACCTTTTTTGTAATTTACATATACTTTGTGAGAGATTCATTATCTAATTGGACCATAATAAAAACCAATAAAAAGATAAAAAGGTGAAGACAAATTAGTTGAAGTGATATTTGTGTTTTGCAATTAGAGTAAATGAGTAATGATGTTGTTGGCATTTGAACGACGAACAAGACTGTTGGAAGGTAGAAGATACGAAGGTTGATGTGATGAAAACAACAGGTCCTAATATGGATATTGAGAAAAACACAACTCACCAAACCCATCACAATCCAAGTTCTATAATTAACCCACACAACACAACAATGGTAAAACACACGGCGGAATGAGTGCCAAGTGCAAACGGAGGAGCCACGCATAACAACCGTCTTATAATTACTCATCTACCCACTTCTATATATATAAAAAATAAATAATAAAAAAATTCAATTAAAGGTTATGATTAAAAACTATTAATGAAAAATAATAGCTAATATTGTAATTACATACATGCACACTTATAATTATTTTGCTCCTTGGAAGAAATTTCTCACCTTAAGAAAACTAATTAAATCCAGCATTTATGGTTGTCATTGTACCCAAAAGATCATGTATATTATCGGTGGCAACTTCTTTCCTTCTTTCCTTTATTTTTCACCTTTTCAGTTTTGAATGAATTGAAAGTTGTTGGCAACGTTAAGTTTGTGAAAAGGTGAGATGAATCATGATAATTATAATTATCAAGTGCCAAGAACAGTGATTATTAATAATAAAAGAAAAGTTGTCGAGAATAATTCACTTTACGTCTTTATCTTTAGAATGCATGATATGATTGCCTATTTTTCCCGTGTATACACCGAGTAAAGTATGCGTCCCCTTTATAATATAATATTTTGCATTTTCAGTTAATAAACATTGTCCATGATACATATATAGTTGATTTAACCATCCTCACAAATATTTTTGTGAACACTAAATTTCTTTTTATTTGATTAATAGTGTAAAAAAAAATTGCTTCACGTCAAACTAAAAAAATCAATTATATTATAATTTTGTTTAAAACAACTTTTCTATATATACCAATAAAAAATAAATAAAATGAATTGAGTTTCTTCCTAAGATTATAATTAATTTACAAACTCAATTTTTTTAAAACTTCTTATATTTGACTTTTAACAAATATTTAATGCATATATTCATTGGTTGAGTGATTAATTATCTTCTCATTATTGTAAATATCGCTAATATAAAGATTTGTTTGCACACAATATGGATTGAATAAGAAATTTTTTATTAAATAAATTATTTCTATAATATATAAACAACAGTGCCTATCTATTATGTCAATCTATCATGTTAAGTTGATTTTAAATTATGAAAGAAATTTAAATAATTAATTTATTAGCTTGAGAGCATGTTTAATTAGATGTAGTCTAAAAATATTTTTAAGAATTTTTCTACTAGAAAGATTAGGAGTATTTTCAATAGAAAAGTTCTTTTATGCTTATATATCTAAACATGTTCTAAATTTACTTTTGGTTCTATAGTTTTACAAATGTGTCATTTTAGTTCTCTAAATTTTTTTATTACAAATTTGGCTCTTAGAATTTTCAAAATCAAACAATTTGATCCATTATTAATTAACATATTATCTAAAATTAAACATAAAACATTGATGTATCCGTGAGTCGCATGCTATTTAGTAGTTACTTAATCACATTAACTTCCATAAAAGAAACAAATTATTTTTTACTACCTATATTCTGTTTCTTTTTTATTTCTATTAAAATTTATAATCAATTAAAATGATTTCATTTTAATTTTTGAACTACTATTTTCTATACTGATAGGCAATGTGAACACTTGCAACACACACCAACGTTTAATTTTAGATATGTTAATAGTAAACTTACTTGAGTTTGAAAATTAGAAGAATAAATTTGTAATAATTTTTTTTGAAAAAACAAAAATTTGTAAATTTGTTATACTATAGGCAACAAAAGTGAAATTAAGTCTAACTTAGTTTATTTTCTTAGTCAAACGTAAACTATATATCCTTAGTTTAATATTATTGCAAATTATTAGGGTTCACCGAGGGATTGAAAGTTGAAATAAATCTATAAGAATCTAAATTTGACTCTTATGAAAAATATATCGAGAGGGATTGAAGGTATTTAATTAAAACATATACACATGGCCTACATAATGAGTAGTAGTTGGCTAGTAGCCCTGGATGTATTTGAAGAGAAATGCGAATAATATAATTTTTTAATTGATTAAAATTTAATAAAAATATAAATTTTGATGAGTTCTACATCGTATTTAATATTCTTATCTTTTTATTTTAAAATATCAATACATTCTAATCAATAATAAGTGTGAATGTGTTATTTCTCATGTTTGAATAAGAGAAAGATTTCAAACAATACATATGTATTTATTTATAAAAAAAATCGTCAAATTATTTTAATTTTTATTCTTTAAATAACTAATATTTATATTTATAAATTAGAATAATTATTTTTTACAATAAGTTTGTAAAGACTAAAGACTACTATTATTCAATGAAAATATTTTCGGTTAATTTTATTGGATGAATGCGTTTTTCTGAACTATCATCACATTTTTATTTTATCCTTTGTAAATATTTATATAAAGCATATGATTACAATTTATTAAAAAAAAATTGAAAATCATGAAAATTTTAAAATTGTGGATATTAAAACAAAACCAAAAAAAAAAAATCCCTTGTGGTGGTGTGTGAGTGAAAACAGTAGAGCTATCTCTTTGGATGGTTAAGCAAATGAAATCCACGTGGCATATAATGTACATGTTTGTGTATTTTGGTGAGCCCTACCCTCATTAATTCTTGGCACTTGGATATGGAAATATTATATATATAAATAAAGAAAATGTGATATCAGTAGTCACTTATCTCGATTGGTAGCTACTGAAAATCTCTTTCAAAGACGGGGCCACGTCAACGAAAATCTAAGAGGGACCCACCTACCCAAGAACAATAAGACGTCGTCGTCTCGTCCATCAACTTCCATTGCATTGTATTCCCCCAATAATACACATGCCCATTGCCCATGCATCATCATTTAATCACCATACGTGGCCACCATTTACCTGTAGTACCTGTCGGCACTTAACCTCCACCCTACGATCAAATCACTCCATCAATCAACGACTCCTATGCACAACGCTGCAAACACACGGATTCCACGCTACCGGTGTTCACGTAACCGCTAAAGTCTAAACTATACTCGTGCAATTATGCATCAGTCGGTCATATAATATATATATTATTATTATCTAAAGAATCAAATTAGGCTTACAAGCTACACTTTTTGTTAATTAATTTATTATGTCACCAATTTTAAATTGATTTAACTTGGAGAATACTTGCCTTAATTAAAGAATTATTTACTAAGAATTTAATTATGTGTGATATAGACATATATACTAATATGACAGATGGTACGTGTATGATGGATGATGATGCAGTAATTTCACTATTTATCGGTTTGGATTTCGTGGCACTTTAAATTGGAAGGCACTTCACAGCTTGTTTATCGGAACGTTGCTACAAACGACGTTGTTTTCAGATAAACACGTGACTGTCTATCTATCAACCCAACCAAACTCCGAGCTTATGGCAGACCTCCAGACCAAGGCTGAACCCGGTTCGCTTCCAGCTCCGCCACCGCTGCTTGACGCCGCTGAGAAAAAAGTGGTGGCGGCGCCACCACCGCCTGCTCCGGCAGCGGCAGAGGAATCCAAAGCTCTTGCTGTTGTGGAGAGTGAGAGTGAGTTTTTGCTGTTTCGTGTTTGAATTGTCGAACTTTTGTCTTCTATGAATCATGGGTTGCCGTCAAAATTCAACTTTTACAATTACATCCTTTACATGATAGCTTAGTTGTTTTGTCGTTTGTGTTTTGTTGCGACTTTTTGGTTGATGAGAAAACGTTGGTAAAAGGAAGGAACATAAACAGTGTTTGTAAATTGTCTGACAAGGTCTGTTATCTGGTTTAATTAGTATTTTTACTTGAGTTACTATTTTCTTGATGTACTGCTTTGTGCTTTTTTTTTAATTGCTGTTTGGTTTCCTGGAGAATATAAAACATCCAGCATATGTCTGGTTTTGGTTAGTACTGTAGAGTGTTGAGTGTGATTTTTGTGAATGTTCATTAGTTTCTGAGAAAGCGTTGGGAAATGAAAAGAAAAAGAACTATGGCTCTTGGTTTTTGCACTTTAGTATTGATTTTTTTTTTTTTTTCAATCTGTTATACTTTTTTCTTTCATCAAAGATTTATTTTTATGGGATTCTTTTGATTTTCCATTCTACTGGTTCCTTTGAGAGCGTTTAAGGATCTGAATTGGAAAAACATTTAAGGAAAAAAATTGGTTTTGTTGCTTATAATTCTAATAATTCATTTTCCTTTTTGGCTGACTTATCCAATGACTTTGTTCATGGCTCTATATCAGTGATCTTCTAGACTTACCTTTCAATAATTAGATGTGTATTTTTTATTTTATTTTATTGTCTTCTTAATGGGGTAAGGTAACCTCACTTTATTTTCTGCTTCCAAGTCATTTTTATGTTTATTATAGAAGCCTATATGTTTATCTAGTTTAGGCATCAAGCTAACAGATCTGTATTTATTCATAGTATTCACTGCTTTATTATAATAAATTCTCTTATACATTTCTCAGTAGACTAGCTATGCTAAAGCAATTATTTTTCAACAAAAGCCATTATTTTTATGTGTCTTAATGGACTATCCTCACTTTCTTTTAGGCTTCCAAGTTGGTTCGACCCATTAATTTTTATGCTTATTATAGAAGCATAAATGTTTATCTAGTTAATTGAACTTGTTTAGGCATCAGGATCACGATAACTGAACTGTATTTATAGTATATAACTCTTATTATAATAATTTCTTTTATTATTTCTCACTATACTAGGCTATACTAAAACAATTATTTTTCAACAAAAGCATATTCAATTATTCATCATTTCTTGTTCTATACGTCAATGCACAATTTCTCCCCTGCCCAATAAAGTGATTTTTCATTAGGCCCTCCAAGTTATCATAAAATATTGTCCCCCATGTCGCGATGAAAGGTCTTTTTCCACTTTTGCTAATGATGCTTTGATTAACAAGAAAAGTTATTCTAAATACATTTTTCTTTTCCAGCTGGCTGTCATTAATTTAATGCATATAATAAGTTAGTGCATATCCTAATTAGAATTTGACAATGAAAGCTAGCCTGCATTTTTACCATTGATGCAATTTTACCTCTGTGATCATTGTTTATTTTTTAACCATTTTCTTTTGTTCTACAGAGATACCAGATCCTGTAAAAAAGAAGGCCACAGGTGGATCCCTTGATAGAGGTTAGTGTTAAACTTATCTCATAGTTCAGTTTACATTGTCTTGTTAATATTTGATCTTGATCAAAATATTTACACTTAATATTTTGAGCTTTTTGTTTCATAATACTTAAATTAGTTAATTTGAAATGCACCATCTAGTCTCTAGACACATTGCAAATGTACATTCATGGATTTCTAGCTGACACTTAACTATATTTTTCTTTTTTAACATGAATATGTACTCATGGTGATTTGTGTTAAGAAAACTCTATTTTTCATATCAAATGACTGATATATTTCTATGGTGTATAGATATTGCTCTTGCTGAAATAGAGAAAGAGAAAAGGTTGTCTAATGTGAAGGCATGGGAAGAAAGTGAAAAATCCAAAGCTGAGAATAAGTACGTCTTTATTTTAATTTCATTTTTTCACTTTGTCATTCTAGGCATAAAAGTAAGTTACATTGCAAAAATAACCCTCACTAGAAAATAGACAATCTATCAAGTAAGTTCCATGTTGATATGGTTTGCATGACACAAAAATCTTCCAAGTCCAAGTCCAAGTTCAAGTCCAAACACTTCATAAGTTCAAATGCTTCAAGATCAGATGAGGCTTACCAAAAACTAAATAAATAATAAGATGTTATGGAAGGAATATTTTTACAAATTTAAAATGTCATTTGATTTTTCTTTTATTGTATGTCTTTATGTAAAGTTTTCCCTTAAGAAATTGTTGTGTTCTGTTAACAGAGCCCAAAAGCAGCTCTCTGCTGTTGGTGCTTGGGAAAACAGCAAGAAAGCAGCTCTTGAAGCTCAGCTGAGAAAAATTGAGGTAATACTTGTCGTTCAGTTATTGGATAACACAGCGACTTTGTTTCTAATATTCAAGATATCATGATGTTTGTTTGCATTGCACATCCTTTTTAAAGCTCTTATTCTAACCAACATAATCAAGATAAGACAAAAAAAAAAGTAAGAATTTATGTTGTCTTTCGTTACATGGGATGATATAGAGTGAGTTTTTTATCCAACAAATTATCCTTTTCCTTCACTCTTGTGTCACATTTAACAGACAGGTGGAACCTTTATCCAATTACTGTCTTGCTTTTGTCAAAATGGAATCAAATACCTAAGCATCCCTAATTGAATCCATCTTCTTAAAGATTAATGCTTTTATCAATGAAATAAGCCACTACAGTCTGTAATGTACTAAAGCTAATACTTTTTTATAGATAGAATTTGGTGGCCATATCCATGTAAGGTGAGCTATCTCTTTCTATCATATGGTGTATCAAAAAACTCCAAATTTGACAACAGAAATTAAACATGGCTTCTCCTCGGAGCGACCCTCTTTTCTTAACACAAACATTGGACATCAAAAGTTCTCTCTTTTCCTTTGGAGTGTATTTTTGAGAGAAAAAAATAAATGACATGGAAATAATGATGATATATACATTGTCAATTTCTTTACGAGTTTAATTTTGATATAGCTGGTCAGTTTAAATTTTTTTACATTATTAAACAATTTAAAAATATTCTAAATATCACTGAAGTAATTATTATAAAAGTTAGTAATTTTTTTACATGATGATATGATAGTGTAAAAATTCTTTACAGCGATGAGTATGTTGTAATTAAATTCATTATATCAAATAATAGAATTGAACTTAAAAAATATACTGTGAAGAAGATTTAAGAACAGATTTTACTGTTACATGTATATTGAATGAAGTAGGTTGAGAATGACATAAACATTTGTGTTACATTAAACTTTTGCAGGAACAACTAGAGAAAAAGAAAGCTGAATATGGTGAAAAAATGAAGAACAAAATAGCCTTAGTTCACAAGCAAGCAGAGGAGAAGAGAGCAATGGTTGAAGCCAAGCGTGGTGAAGAAATTCTCAAGGCAGAGGAAACGGCTGCAAAATACCGTGCAACTGGAACCACTCCAAAGAAGGCCTTTGGATGCTTTTAATTTTCATTATTATTTTTATGCTTTTGTGTCTCATTTCATAGCAGTAATTAAATTTTGTCTATATATTTTTTTTCTTGTCTGTTTTAAAATGTTGTTTATGTGTGTACCAAATGGAAAGGGGAACATTATTATCAAGTTTGTCACATACAGGAAAGCCTCTAGATCTTTTTGCTACGATCAAGTTTTCCTTGTTTTTTCATTTATTTTTCTCTCAACGAAATCATTATGATCATCGAGCAATAGATTTGTTTCCGTTATTAAGATTTTTTTTCCTCTTTTAAGGAAGATGATAACGGTTTAATATTCTTGATTACAAACTAATTAACGAGGCTAGTAGATGATTTAGAATGAGTTTAAATGAAGGATTTTAATGAAGAAATTTAATTTTTGTTTTAAGAATTTCAAATGTTTTGGATAAAATATTTTGTTTGGATGAAGAATTTTGTAAATAATTTAAAATTTGAATATTTTTGAAATTCTTTAAAATTGTATAATTTCAAATTTTTTCATAAAAAAGTAAATTGTTGAATTTTTCTTACATTCCTCTCTTCTCTTTTAAAATTAACATACAAATTATTTTTTTTCTAATTGTTGAATATTCAAAATTATTTTTTAAATTGTTTAATATTTAAAAATAGAATATTATTTAATTTTATAAAATTTAATCTTCACATGTATATATATATATATATATACACATGGAGAAAGATGTGATTG